AGGTCCCCTCCTAGCAAGGGGAACATGGCTCCACACCTGGTCCAGGTCAGGTACCCTCCTACCAAGGGGAACATGGCTCCACACCTGGTCCAGGTCAGGTCCCCTCCTATCAAGGGGAACATGGCTCCACACCTGGTCTAGGCCAGGTCCCCTCCTAGCAAGGGGAACATGGCTCCACACCTGGTCCAGGTCAAGTACCCTCCTATCAAGGGGAACATGGCTCCACACCTGGTCCAGGTCAGGTCCCCTCCTGGCAAGGGGAACATGGCTCCACACCTGGTCCAGGTCAGGTCCCCTCCTATCAAGGGGAACATGGCTCCACACCTTGTCCAGGTCAGGTACCCTCCTGGCAAGGGGAACATGGCTCCACACCTGGTCCAGGTCAGATCCCCTCCTATCAAGGGGAACATGGCTCCACACCTGGTCCAGGTCAGGTCCCCTCCTAGCAAGGGGAACATGGCTCCACACCTGGTCCAGGTCAGGTCCCCTCCTGGCAAGGGGAACATGGCTCCACACCTGGTCCAGGTCAGGTACCCTCCTACCAAGGGGAACATGGCTCCACACCTGGTCTAGGCCAGGTCCCCTCCTGGCAAGGGGAACATGGCTCCACACCTGGTCTAGGCCAGGTCCCCTCCTATCAAGGGGAACATGGCTCCACACCTGGTCTGGTCCAGGTCCCCTCCTAGCAAGGGGAACATGGCTCCACACCTGGTCCAGGTCAGGTCCCCTCCTAGCAAGGGGAACATGGCTCCACACCTGGTCTAGGCCAGGTCCCCTCCTATCAAGGGGAACATGGCTCCACACCTGGTCCAGGTCAGGTACCCTCCTGGCAAGGGGAACATGGCTCCACACCTGGTCCAGGTCAGGTCCCCTCCTAGCAAGGGGAACATGGCTCCACACCTGGTCCAGGTCAGGTACCCTCCTAGCAAGGGGAACATGGCTCCACACCTTGTCCAGGTCAGGTCCCCTCCTAGCAAGGGGAACATGGCTCCACACCTGGTCCAGGTCAGGTCCCCTCCTAGCAAGGGGAACATGGCTCCACACCTTGTCCAGGTCAGGTACCCTCCTGGAAAGGGGAACATGGCTCCACACCTGGTCTAGGCCAGGACTCTCCTACCAAGGGGAACATGACTCCACACCTGGTCCAGGTCAGGTCCCCTCCTATCAAGGAGAACATGGCTCCACACCTGGTCCAGGTCAGGTGACTCTCCTACCAAGGGGAACATGGCCTACAACTGTTCCAGGTCAGGTACTCTCCTAGCAAGGGGAACATGGCTCCACACCTGGTCCAGGTCAGGTACTCTCCTAACAGTAACTTAGATTAACACCATATAAACACCACTTTGAAAGCTTGCTGAATAGCTCAAATTTCATGATTACCCCAACAGATAGGACGCTTCATGCAAGGTATTCATTGTGAAAACTAGAAGTATGGCCAACAGACCATGGAGCAGAGATTCATTTAATAGAACCTATTGGAAATATCATCTATACCACATATATATAACTGTTATGTTCTTCATCAAATGCAGCCTTATAATGAAGGATCCTGGTAATCAACACTCAGAGAGCTTTGATAAATTTGAATAATTCAATACTGTTGTGAAACAAGCACGCATCTGCACACGCATGCATACCTGTTGACTTAATGAGGTGTTGGGAGAAACGAGAATGTAAAGTCATCGCATCATGTTACTGTAGGCAACCATCTTGTTCATACCACTTGGCAGCACCATTGCTGAGTTTGTGTAATCTACAACCAGGCATTTCATGAGATGTCAAGTTCACCTCAAATGAGGTCAATAAGTTCAACATGCTATTTAAAATGTCCTAATGACAAATCTGATCTGAAATCACATGGGAACTATTCCTGATTCCTTTCGATATGCACATTCCTTGTTGTGGACTGTGAATACTTTCAGTGCATACCCTGAGTCTTGTTCCATATAGAGGATGAAGGAAGTACCTGTAGCTCCTGTACCAGTGTCTGCATAGCGACATCAAGGAACACTGGCAACAGGGAACTGTATGTTACATGTATCCATTAATTAAGTACACAGGCCCAGGATGACATGAACTTGAAAATATCCTATTCCATCTATTAAATGGTTAAAATCTTTTTCTAGCAAGAAATATCTTGGACAATTGGACAATATGTTTATAAATGAAAATGACCCCCCCCCCCCCCCCCCCCTCCACACACACACACACACACTTTATGAACCAAAATGAAGTTTATTGTCTATGGTTTTATACTGAACAAAAAAGGTTAGGGATCATAAATATTTTGGGGGATCATTTTTTAATTCCCCCTCCCCCCACAACATATTCATGATCCCTTTTATTTTACTCACTATATGTTATTCTGAAAAGAGTCTATTCTGAAATCAGTCCAAATCAGCTGACTTGACAATTCTTGCTCTTTGCATTCCCATTCATTTCTGAGGACTGAATTATTCAGTCATACAGCATGTTTCCTAAGCAACAATAATCACATGGCCGGTGGGGAATGTAGGTTACCTGCGAGAGTCGTTAACACACTTATTAACAAGCATCGTGAAATATACCTTGACTCGGCTCACTTCATGTCAGCCTAATTAGATCAGTCATGCAACATTAATTGAGGGATTGGCAGGTATTGAGAAGGCGAAAGGACCACACTAGCATCTAGATCAAGTATCAAGTTCTGCAGGAAATTGGAGTTACAAAATTACATGTTCATTACAATAATAAATGTTATTTCAAACGTTAATTTCAAAATGTAAACTGAGATGGCAAGACAGTTTGAAGATTAAAATATAGTTTTGACGGGAATGCATGCACAATCATATTATACTTAGTTTACTGTAGTGGTGCTTTGATGAACTAGATGCATGCAAACATTTGATGTCAACAGGTATATTTAACACAGTAGGAAGAATATCGATGAGGAATGATAAGCTAGGCATGCAAATAGATTTTATCCTTTTTTGGCTTTCACCCCTAAACAGCAGTATTTTAATTGTCCATAGTGTATTATTAAATTGAGAAATCAGTTGGTTTAACAATCAAAATAACTGGTTCAAGAATATTGATAATAATGGTATACAACAGAGATTTCTTTGTTTGTTGTTTATTGCCCCACTCAACAGTCATTAAATAATCAAGTCTGGACCAGACAATCCTGTAAACTGACACAATTGGGATATGATGACATGCATCAACTGAGTCTGACCACCTGATCCAGTTAATCACATCTTACGACAAGCATGGATTGCTGTAGACCTATTCTACCCTGGATCTTCATGGGTGAGTGTTCTAAAGGTTCTACACATGTGTAGATAAACCAACTGTCACATGACTTTCCATCAACAACTCAAGGATAGGTTAATGGATAAATCCTACATAAACTGTGCTGTTTATTTAGCCCAATGTAGTTCAATGCATACATGTAAAGTGAGTAAACTGTGAAATTTACACAAGCAAACCCCCCAGCCTGCATATCCTACAACAAGCTCCACACACCGTTGTGTGAAACCGACACTGATTGACTGAAATGTCGTGTACTTACATGGTGAAATAGACACACACCTACCAACACCTATCCTGGTAGCCTTGTTTCTTCTGTAAGACGTGTAAACTGAACTAGTACACATGCAATAGTGTGCCTCATATCAGCTATTGATTTCAGTGATCTCAGATCAGCTGCTTGGGTCTGATGGAGGAGAATGGATGTCAATAGCAACAAGGTAAACAGCTGCCAAATACACACAATTTTTACGATAAAGTAGATTTATCACCACCTGGTTAATTATGATGTGATAGTAAATAAAGGCTGGCTCAGAAAACAAGATCAATGTCAGTCTCCCTGGAATTGACGGGCTGATAAGTAAACAAGGCTTTAGTTGATTAGGTATAGGCCGGAAAATGTCTGATATGAATGACAAACTAAAACAATATTACAGCAATTAATGTTGACTTTACTTCATGATTTTGAGAGTCTATCAGATGATCATTATATTATTGTCCATCTATTCATTTTCTGTAATCATGAATACCTTCAAGAGTAGCCTCCCTTTGATAAAAAACCTGACATTTGTAAACAGCTTCTGAAATTTCACTTTTCATAACATACATCTTTTGTAAAAATGGTGTTAATGACTGGATCCAAAATAATTACCTAAAACAACAAACAAACATGGAAACACCATAGGATCAAACAAAAGTACAGTGGACTGCCAAAACCAACATGCACATTTGGAACAGTTTTTTTTATTGTTAGAACAAGGTTTTTTTCAAATATTCAACATCAAAATAAGTGTTTTGCTTGAAAATGTATTGTCATTATGAAGACAATTTTTGACTTCTCAGATGACAGAATCTACAGGAGAGGTCAATGTTTCCCCATGACTTGTCACAAGACTGAAACACAAGCAATCAACACAACGAACACGCCACGAGGGACGAGGTATGATAAGGCCATTTTCAGGACAACTAAATCCACATGATGTTTGTTATGGAAAACATTATATGTATCGACATGAGAATAAGATAATTCAATTCTAGCATGTTTCAAACTTCTCTGACATGAAAAGCAAGATTTATGTCCAAAAATGATGATTTTAATCATTTCAGGAAATATTTTTCTTATATTTGACCAAGCACAGGCAAGTCTTTGATTCAAGATGATTTTCTTAGATGATTGCAATGATTGTAAAAACACATGGTGAAACTTCGTTAGTGCTTACACATTTCTCCAGACAATACAACAAAGCATTTCCATTTTCCCTTCTTTAAACCATACTTCTGTACTTAATATGGTCAAATGAACATGTCAAATTTTCATAACATTATCATATTTTTCTCCAGTTAAGTTGCCTTTTGCAGTTGACCAAAAAATAGCCCTTCAACCACTATACCTATTTCTTTAACTTCGGAAGACATCCAAACACTTTGTAATGCCAATTAAATGCATAGCATGTTTGTCAAAGGGGCTTCACAAGTTATACCCATCATCTCACCTTCATTAAATGGAGGCAGGCCTTCCTCGGTAGGGCTGGATACTCCAGGACCAAACTTCCTGCGGACTGTGGCTTCAGAAATGACTGCTCGTCTCTCCATCTCAAGCGCTTGAAGTCTCTTCTGGTCAAAGTTGTCTGGTGTAGATGAGTCCCGCTTGACCACAAAATTTGGCTTTTGGACAATTTCAGCGAATTGTCTGGCTTTATCAACCATTTCTTGAGAGTCATACAATTTACCACGCGGGGAGGTAACTCCACTCTGTGACTGTCCATACGTTTCCTCGATTTCAGTTTTCTGAAATCTTTGATTACCTCCCTTTGATTCATAGCTATAGGATGTGGTTGGACTTGTGATGCTGTCTTCAAAGGCGGAATCAACACTGGTCCGTACGAAAGATGAATCTCTCTCACTAGAGTTATCTCCCATGGAGTATGTCTGGTTTTGAAAGGAGATGAGCTGTACGTCAGTGCTGTCTGTCTCATCAGGGGAGGTAGGCAGACTGGACACAAGAATTCCGCTGTCTCCTAGGAGCAACACATGGAGAATAGAGGTAAAATATAACACAAAAATTACTAATTCACAACAAACATTATTTTCCATAAGAGTAAAACAATCAACTTGCCTATAAAGTGATTAAGGGGCCCAGCAAATGTACTGCTACAGTTTGCTTTTCCTAATTACAAAATTCTGGTTATCTGGTTTCTAAAGACGACAAATAAATAAAAACAGTCAAGACCAAACAATTATGTGAGTGAGTATTGTTTTAGGCCGCTTTCAGCAATATTCCAGCAATATCATGGCGGGGGACACCCAGACTGGGCTACACAAATTGTTCCCACATGGGGAACTGAACCCAGGGCTTCGGCTAGATGAGCGAACACTTTAACCACTACGCTACCCTACTGCCCCCATGACCACACAAAAGTATCTAGTCATAGTCTTATCTGGTTCCTACTTCACAAAATTCAACTGTGTATAGAAATTCTCATTAAAACACAATAGAAATCTTATTGAAAATTGGATTGACTGTATGTACATTACTTGTATTTATGATAAGCTGATTAGTTCAAAACCAGAGTTCAACGATTGCCAAACTAATGCTGTGTTTCAGATGACGTCATATTGTATTTTTCTAATAAAAAAAACACAGTGACATCACATGGATTCAGTTGACCAATTAGCTAAAATGCACATGTGCAAATATCTAAAAGGTATTACACATGATCATTCTACCCTTACTAGACTTGTCCCAGATTATCTAATCCAACCCAACTCCCAGTTATCAGGAATGAAATGATGATGGATAAAGAAACGAAGTATGATGTAGTATCTAGTTTTTGTCGAAAGTCAACAGTACTTGTATCATGACACACACATCAAAAGTGAAAGGACAGAGGAGCACAATGACATACCATATGTAGTGTAATTAACTCTGAAACGTTCATTTACATGGTATACAAGTTTGAAAGTGTCATAAATTCCACAGTTAGTGAACTGAGAATGATTTTACAGCACACACACAGAGCATAAAGTGAAAGAAGCACTCATAAAATATATCAAAATATCATCTCCACAATAAATAATATTCAAATCAATACTTTTGTTCTTCACGAGCTAGTCTTAGATATTTACTTTACCCTTCTCAGTGACATTTTATGTATCTCAACATAGAAATCTGTTATAGAGATTGAAGAAAGATATTTCACTAAATTACACAGTTATTAGATTAATTGACATATTGACTTAATTGGCTTCTGATCATATATACAATATGAAGCAACACAGATCACACACACACATCATGAAGAACACAGTGTCAACAGGGCTCCCACACAGTGGACAACTTACAGCACAAGACTTGAGGTGTGCATATGTTGTCATAAAAACCTTGAAACGCAAAAAATACTTTCTGGAATAATCCCAAATCACAACACTTTCAATCTGGTTTCCAATCGGATTAATTTATTATATTTACCCCGACATGTGTGAGGAGCCCTGATGTAGAGTCAAGCCATGTTATCTCATAAACCGCCCCTTCAAATGTACCACATCAGACCAGCCTTATACCTGTCAGGGCTATTTATCTTAAATTTGAGACACAAGTATGACTGAAACTTAGAACCTGTGAACCATTCCAAACAATATGTATTACATAATTTGGAAATTGTATTGACAATCCTGCTCATAATCATAATAAATTAATATTTTTTTAAATTAATTTATGAAATGAAAAAATGCAATGGCTAAATATATTACCCATTTCTTGATGGGATTAATCCTACGGGGAAGAAAATGCCATCCTTTTGCTAATAAAGTCAATGTAACTGTAAATTTTGAGAAATACAAAGACATGATTATTATCAATATAAATTTTTAAAAAAGGCTAAAAAGTGACAGGCCGATTTGTAAAACAATTAAATTGACCTGGTCTTAATACTCAATAAAAGAGACCCATCCTAAGCTGCCATCTCCAAGTTCCCCAGCTTCACGATAACAAGGTTTGACCAGATTGACAGTATGTGCAGGTATATATGAATATAGGGTTGTATGAGAACAATGAAGGCTTGGGTACACACTAGTGCCAATATATTAGACAACAGTTAGTAATGTGAATAGTAGCCAGCTGTTACTTGAGTATTGGGTCCATTCCACATAATAGCAATGATCAAGTTTAAGTTTTAATTAAGGTTTTTTTCTGTTCTGTTTCATTTATTTCCTTGCTGCAAGGTATGCCTCACACCTTATGTGTATTTTGTAAACTTGGAACATACATAGTGGGTTAATAAGAAAGATTTCACTTCTTGAGTTTTATACTTCAAAGGAAGCATCTTGAGCTTTCAAAAAGAAATGACCTAAAAAAGAATTTGTTTCAGATTAAACATTCATATAATTCATACATATGATATTGAATGATTAGTTTTGTCTTACACAGCTGTTAGGAATTTTTCATCAATGTCATTACAGGTGACACCAGAAATGGAATTCAGATATTTAACCTGGGACTTGACAAGGCAAGTGAATGCTAACCACCTGGCTACCCTACTGCACTATAAGTTTGATAGAGCTAAAGAAGAATCTGATAAGTAAATAATAGGGATAATGATGTTTTAAGACCATAATTATTTAGTATGGATGTTGATTAAAAACAGTAATATTCTCTTTTCATGATTATTGGATTTGATATTTTATCAAGAAATACATAGTTTTCCATGCGGCCATCTTACCTGGAGAGAAAGTAGCATTAAATCCACCTTCATCTTCGGAACCATCAGACTCCTTTCTCACACTGCTGTCAAGTCTTTGCATATCAGAGAAATAAGCATCAATGCTTGAATTAGATGTCTCATTATTGTCTAAATCTAACAATGAGGACTTTTTAAGACCGAAAAAATCAGCCCTCATTTGGGCCAAACTTTTGACCTGACGACCTTCACCTTCGTTAGTAGAAGCAGGTGATTCATGGGACTCAAAATCAATTAACCTTTCCATAATAGCGTTACCTGTTGGTGAAGATTTGGAGTTAAGGAGTGATGAAGATTTGAAATCAATTTCCACTATATCCTCGCCACTGAGTTGTGTGGCGAGGGGTGGGGCAATGGTCGGCAGTGGGGGTGGGGCCGTGTCTGGGAGGGGTGGAGGAACAGAGCTGGCATCAGATGCATCAGACTCATATCCTGCAGCTGCAGTTCCTGCAAGATGATCTGGGATTGATGACCGCTTGGAGACCCTCACTGAAGGTGGGGTCGAACTTGGTGAAGCCTCAATGTTTGAAACGTTGGTGTGAACTTGGTGGATAATGGTGGTTCCTGGGACAGGAGGTGCTGGTGCTTTTCGTTTCGGGCTCCTTCCTTTATCTTTAATATCGCTAATTGCCTGAGACTGAACCTCGGTTGAACTTTCTTCAATGATCACCTTGGGCTCAATAACCTGTGTCATTACAGTTTTCTTTGTGCTGACAACTTCCGATTTATATCCAGGAGCTGAGCTATCTAGAATTGGATTACCTGCATTGTCAATTGAAGTTTTGATTTCAATGACCTCCTCAATTATTGTTTCAATCTCTTCTTCCTCTATTTCATCTTTCTTCTCAAGAACTTTTCTTTCTTGTTTCAAAGCTTCTTGTCTGACAGATTCCTTCTTTGACTTTTCTTGCTTCAAAGCTTCCTGTCTGACAGATTCCTTCTTTGACTTTTCTTGCTTCAAAGCTTCTTGTCTGACAGATTCCTTCTTTGACTTTTCTTGCTTCAAAGCTTCTTGTCTGACAGATTCCTTCTTTGACTTTTCTTGCTTCAAGGCTTCTTGTCTGACAGATTCCTTCTTTGACTTTTCTTGTTTCACTTTAGGCCTGGCCCCTCCATGGACCCCAGAATAAGCATCAAAGCGACCAAAGAGTTCACTGTTTTGAGGAAGTTGGCTTGCACCTTCAGTTCTAATGGACGTGTCTATATTTGAAGATTGAGGACTACTCCCTTCTCTGGTAACAACAGTGACAGTTTCAGCTGTTCTAACTGGAGACTTCACCCTCCCTTTCGATTCATGAACTTGTGTTACTGTGGAGGTAGTGACTGTTGTTGCACTCTCAGAGTTGGAAGCAAAAGCATCAGTATCTTTAAACAACTGAGAAGATTTTAAGGCTCCAAATATTTCAGATTCAAGAGAACTTTCCAGAATCAATGGCTTCACTTTGGATTCTTCAATACTTGCTGTTGAGGTAATGCCCAGGTCATTGGGTCTTTTAGCAGGAGATTCTAGTGATTTACTGACTGCCGTTGTCTTCACACTGGATATGTCCCGGGGACTCTGCACAATCTCTTCAACCCTTGGAGATGTGGGTACAGATTTTGTGGGGGATGAATCTTTACTGGACACCAAACCATTTACTTTCTGTTCAGATTCTTCAGAGGAACTGGATTTAGTTGATGCCCTCTTTTTCTTCAATCGAGGTGGAGCTACAGGTAGAGGTCCATCTGCAGTAGGTACTGAAGGCTTGGCAGCAATGGGAGGTTTAACAGTAGCTTCAGAGGGAGTCAGAGCTTCGAGAGGTCGAAGTGGAGATTCTGTTATGGACGGAGATCTTGGGCTGGCAGGTCCAGGACTGGTTGACTCGGATGGTGGAGGAGGAGCTCTTGACTTCTTTGAGGATGATCGAGGAGTACTCTTAACAGGAGTGGATGAACTGAAGTGAGCCTTCTTCAAGCTTGCTTCAGATTTCCCCCTTGGTGTCTTTTCACCAGATGACTCTGCTTCTTGAGTATTATTTTCTTTCAGAGCTCTTTCTGGACTCTTGTGTCTATCTTTAGCTTCTTCTTGGCCGTTTTGTAGCGATGATAAGTCTAGCTTCTCAACAACTGGCTGTGATGTGAAGGTGGTTTCTGAGTGGCCCAAATCTTGTTCAACAAAAGCTTTTGACACTGAGTGGACTTTCTTACTCCTGGGTGTCTGCCGGGGAGAGTGCCGAGGAGACTCAAGAGGTCTTCTCGCCACTGGTGGACTGTCTGTGGTTGTCTCAGGCTTTCCTTCAAGATGCAAGGACCTTCTCTTTATGCGGTACTCTCTAGCTGCTTGTACTGCTTCATCAGGTTTGGAGGTATAGCTGTGTCGCTTGATGTTCTCCTTACCACTGCCACCACGACGCTGATGTCGGAGTTTCTCTGTCCTCTCTTCCTCCTCCTTGGCACGCTTCCTTGCAGTGTATTCCTCAGGGTTTCTCTGCAAAAGGAACACACATGCATTAACTGGTCAAACTGTATACATACAAAACATTTGTGGTCCATGATCGAAATAGACTTTTAACACCAAAGCTTCCTGAATCTGTTTCTAAGCTATAACAAAAATGTTTTGCAGAATAATGAATACTTGGTTACTTGAATCAAAAGAAAAGCATAAGCTCACCTTTTCGTGAACCTAGTATCATCACTATTTGATAGTGATTTATATATACATGAGTATGATTAAAGTCGGAAAGGTACAATGGCTTTAGCATTATGATTATGGAAAGGGCTTTGTTGCTGTTATTATTGATAAAGTGACACCTGGTATAACCAACACCTAATTATACCATCCACCCTGTTAAAGTAATGCCTGTACCTGTAATCCTCACTACCATCAGTGTTGGTTATGTCAAGGCCTGCTTTAATTATTGTCAGTTCAGTTCCATTCAGTAAAGTGTGGTAAACTTTCTACAAACTGTAGATACAACGCATTCCTCCTGGGTTGACCAAGCAGGGTCCTGTAACCCACTTAATTATTACCCCTTAGACACTCACTCCAGGTGGAGTAAGACACAGGTGGTGATGAATTATTCAGGAAAATACAATGAAAGTGTGTTCCCACAAAGACCTCCATTAGTCTACTACGTGACCATATGTTTCATGAGACATGAAATTGAAGCCTGTCAAGCAGAGCAGACATGAATCTATTCCACAACGGCCCGTACCAACCTATAAAGGGAACTGTGATAACCTATTTCTGGGGAATATTCAGATGCTAATGTTAGTTACAGTCATGAAACTATCAAGTACTTGGTAGCTTACCATTTCATATTTGAAATACTTGATAGCCTACCATTTCATATTTGAAGCACTTGGTAGCTGACCATTTTATGTGAAGTACTTGATAGCTTACCATTTCATATTTGAAGTACTTGGTGGTTTACCATTTCATATTTGAAGTACTTGGTAGCCTACCATTTTATATGTGAAGTACTTGATAGTTTACCATTTCACATTTAAAATACTTGGTGGCTTACTATTTTATATCTGAAGTACTTGATAGCTTACCATTTCTTATTTGAAATACTTGGTGGCTTACCATTTCATTTCATATTTATAGTGCTGTGTATAGGTTTGTTTAAAGAAAATTGGAATGAACTGGAGAAATCTGTACATTGAATGACATGTACAATATAAGTGAAATCATATGCACTGTTTTTTGCCTTCTGATGTGCACTGATTAGACGACCGACAAAAACAGTGAACTGTAGTAGACTAATTCACAGGTTATAATGTGGTCTTGTCAAGTACCATGTAGATCTCCTATATCACCCGTATATCAAGGTGTCTGACAAAGCATCTACATATATATGTGGGCAGAATATGTTAACCAAAAATGTTGAATTTCTCCCAACATTGTAGTGTCTTGGCAACAATGCTCATTTGTTCCATGACATCATGCCACTGTCCCATGGCGTAACAGTGATGTCACTGAAAAACAAGTTCTATTTGCATTTTATATTAAACTAAAATGGTTTCATTTCCATATCTTTGTATTTTGTTGCCTGTTAGGAACAAAACACATTTCATAGCGTCAGTACTTCACATAAAAATGCCTTCAGCACTGACACTACATATCAGCCTTTAGTGGTTTCCGTTTCACAGCAAACAGTCATCAGCAACCTGAATTAGCCTTGAAGTAATCCACATTCATGAAAACATGTTCTCTCCACAATCATAAATAACTATATTTTTTCAAACTATAACTATGGACTACCTATTGAACAGCCTCTCATACATTTCATCATACTAGACGGCCAGCTGCATGCATAGCTATTGATTACTGCACTGTACGTCTATGTCCTGTGTATATCAACACATGCATTGCAGCAGGATCAGTAACAGCCACCACTGCTGCGGCAACAGCTTATACAGTGACAGGTACAGCACTGGTGGACTACCAGGTCATGATGTTATACAGCAAACAATGTTCTGTCATGGATCTTGTGTGCAAAACATGGTTCATGTACATTCATGTACAACTGCAAATATGACAACATTTGGAACAATGTTTAACAATATTAGAAACTACAGAAATAGCTCGACAAAAATATACCAAAAGCACCTTAAGAACCCTCAAATGTATGTTCTTTGGTTGTTTGTTGTTTAACGCCACACTCACCAATATTCCAGCTATATGACAGTGGTCTGTCGAACTCAGATCTTCACAGGTCCACATGTATATTCAAAATTCAGACTATATATATTCATATTATAAGAGACATTTTAATCAATTATCAATGCAAATAAGGAAATTTACATGATGAAGATAATAATATTATCCATGAATAAATTCTAGAGACATACCACTGGTGTGCTACTAAATGTTTATAACCATCACAGAACATTTACCAGAGCTATGTACATTAACATCAGGAACACAAGGGAATCTTTCTGTGATGATGAAGGGCATCCCACTCCCCAACATCAGGCAATTACCTGACCTAATTTACCTGAGCAAGAGTCAAGAATCCTTCTGCAATTATTTCCAGGTAAGTGGGGGCTAAGATACCCCCGACAAATGAATTTCTATCAGGTAAAACAATCCCGTCTCCAAGCCTAGAATCACCTCTACACTAGTTCAGGGGCACCAGGACACGAAGAATGGTTGCAGGGGTAAAATGTATCGTCACATGTCGCTGCTGCTGCTGAAACAACCTGTACGTCTGCTGCGACTCGTTACTGAAGCACTCCAACACAATCCATTCTGTGGGCCTGTGGACAACTGAAGTGTTTCAAGTCAACCCAGTCCCTCACCGGTCACTTGTGAGCAGGACAGCAGAAGCCGTCCTCTGTTAGATTGCCCATTGACAATATGAGATGTGTATGAGCTGAATCGGACTTTACAGAGCTGCAGATATAACCTGTGGGCTGTTGCCCATTAGTGGAGCACTATAATACACTCACTGTTCAATATTTCCAATTCATTTGATTATGTGGCGTAGTTTATGTGTTATTGAATTTTAGTTGAATGCCATTGTAATTCATCCATTCCTTTAACTGTAGGAATGTTCTACTTTCTACAATACTCTCATAAATCATGGCATATCAAAAATGTCAGAAAATATTCTGTACTCAGTTTTGTAAAAATGAAAAAACAAAAATGACAAATAGACATCTTTTTCTGTACCTGGTCTCAACTTTTCTTCAAGAGAATTTGTTGTAATTTTCTGTCTCTTTCTGTTAATCAACCTCCACCCGGTGCTGTCAATATCTTTACCATTTTAATTCTGCTTCCTGCATTTTGAGATGTCTACATCCTACACTATCCCACCTATGGCCAATCCTACACAACAACTCTAAGATACACCATTAGTGTGATGTTTCTGCTGTAGCTGCAACCTCTTCATGACATACAGGTACCCAGTGTAGTCTTCCCCAACTCCATCTCAACCCAAACCAGCGTGACAAAACATACTGTCCACACAAAAACAAAGTAACAAAAAATAGTTCCCAATTACGGGAATTTGTATAAAAGGTTATTAAAACTCCTCCAAAGCAGGAGACAAAACAGCCTTGCACAACAGATTATTGTCTGTTCAAGCATTGGGTTCTCCAAAAAAGTATCTACAACACTTGGAACTAATTTAAAACCCTTATTCAATTACTTTACTTGACAAAAGGCTGGTCAAAAACTTGAAATCTTCGAACTACAAAAGAGCTCAGCCACACAGGAGGTGGTTCTTAAGGCAAACACCAACTGTTGGTGAAACAAACAGATCATTCTCACATTATTTGCAGCCTCTTTGAGATACACAGCTCATGTGATGATGCAGTGACAGACTCCACACAGGACAACCCATGCTGGCCATGAACCACTTGCACAAAGCAACTCATCCTCCATTATCCAGGGGGGCGGTCAGGTAGCCTAGTGGTTCAAGCGTTCGCTTGTCATGCCGAAAACCCTGGTTGGATTCTCGACATGGGTACATTGTGTGAAGCCCATTTCTGGTGTCCCCTGCCGTGATAGTGCTGGAATATTGCTAAAAGCGGCGTAAAACCATACTCACTCACTCACTCACTCCATTATCCAGGGTATTAATAATCACCATCTATTATGACATAGTTCCTCGACCCAAGTCACCATTGCTTTATTTTGGGAGTTACATCTCCATCAGTGTCAACAGCCAATCAAAATGCCATTTAACATTTTTAACATTTTTAATTGAATCAGGAGACTGTCCAAACAATTGTTTTGGTGGTAAAGTTGTTATTATCATTAGGAAGACAAGGGTGTTAAGTCCTCATTGTACAACATTCAACTTGTATTAGAGATGATATACAATAAAAGAGGTGACCCCTACCACATTATTGTGCTATTTAACTCTGAAATGTCATTTGATGTGCAGATGTCAAGGGAGTAAGATGCTATTACTTGCAAAACTAACTATGGATAGTTGATGGTGAAGAGGAATTCTGTTGAACATCTGAATTTTCACTTGTCTCACATCAAAATGATGAATTTCAAACAAATCATAAAAAAATGCATTTTGAATTGAATTCATTATATTGAAACTTTCACACAGATCATGATGTACTTCATTGTCTCAGTATCATCAACATTTTCTTCTCGCCAATATTATATAGAATGGAAAAATGTTATAATAAAGAGAATTCACAGAAATACCCAGGCTTCATCCCATTAACTTTAAAATATTTTGTTTGTGTATTTTGTTTCTTTCTTGTTTGACACTGAACTCAGCAATAGTCCAGCTGTATGACAGCAGTCTGTAAATAATCAAGTGTGGACCAGACAATCCAGTGATTGAAATAATAGCATTGATCCACGCAATTGGGATACGATGACATACATCAACGAAGACGGCGAGCCTGACCCCCCGATCCCGTTAGTCACCTCTTACGACAAGCAAAGTCGCCTTTTACAGCTAGGATGGTTGCTGAAGACCTATTCTACCCCAGATATTCATGGGCATAACT